CCAATAACCAAAAACTAACTAACTAACTATACGAAAGCCTTCAGACAAGATTGTGATTATATTTAATTCAATAAATTTTATATCTTGAATAATAATGGATTAAAACAACTGATATTAAAAATTAACTTTTCTTAAGCTCTGATTCTGTGGAACTGTTGTTTGATTAAGTATATGCATTAATTTTTATGAGTAGCCCAGCTCCCTTTATACTTTCCTTTCATATTAAAAACTTTCAAAATTTTTAATAATTTACTAAAAGCAATAAGGGGCCAGAATTCGGGCTTTAGTAGTATACACACACGCATATATATATATATATACATTGACATTGCGTTATGCATATTATATACACGTATACGATATATACACATGCATATCTATGTTTACACTCATACATATATGGGTGAGTGTGTATGTATTTATATATTCTGAAACTGAAATATATTTTATGCATTATTATTATAATTTATTTTGCATTATTATTTTTTTTTTTTACAGATTTCTTGCAAGTGGTGACTCTATGAAGAGTATGGCCTTGAACCATAGAGTTGGCGTGAGTACAGTGTCAAAAGTTAACGCAGAGACTTGTCAAGCCATCTGGACTTGTCTGAGTCCACTGTATTTGTCACCGCCAAATGAAGAGGCATGAGCGAAAATAGCCGAAGGCTTTGAGAAACACACAGACTTCCCCAATTGTGTTGGTGCTTTGGATGGAAAGCACGTGGTTATCCAAGCTCCTGCTGACTCTGGCTCGTTATACTATAATCACAAAGGGAGCTATAGTATGGTGTTAAGGCTACAGTGGATACCAAAATCAATGAAAATCTGTAAAAAAAAAAAAATCGAATTTCTGTTTTTGATAACTGTAACTGTTTTTCTTCGAGTTATAAGCTTTTTTGGAAGTGCCACGCCCCCCGACCTCTCAAATGATTCCTCTTTTGCTGCGTAAAAAGATATTATTTCAGTTCGAAAGTAACTTTTATTATAATATATTTTACTAGAAGTGCCTCTTTCTTTGATTATTATGTCTTGTTCATAAAATTCTGGCAACTCCTGAAGCAAGTTTTATATTTATGGGCACAGAGATATGGAGATATTTGTTGTTGCAAGTGCCATGCAAATTTTGTCGTCAGAATCAAAGAAGGAAAGCTCAAAAAAATTGCTGTATCCCAAAAAACCGAGCAGCAAAGAAAGATATAGCAGTATATGCTGCTGGTGCTCTTTAGATTTTGCTTATAATTTTTAGTATCTTATGACAAGAACACTTTCGAAATTTATTTCCTTATTTAAAAATATGTTTTTTTTCATTAAATTTGTTATGTTATTAGAATGTTTGTTAGAATTCTGTGATTCTCAGTGTCATTTTCTAGAATTCATAATAATATTTTGATTATTGTATGAAACATAATATTTTAACTGTTGTCCTGAATTTTCATTGGCTATCACTGTTTAGATAATTTTTTTACAAATTTCAAAAGATAAATTAAAATGTTTTATATTAATAAAAACAACTACAATTAACATCATACTAATTAAAGAGACATTAACTTTGTTTATAAATTAAGTAAGCTTATTCATATCACAGTAACAAGCCTTTAACCATGTTAAAAAAGACTTTTTCGTATTTTGAATTCTGTAATTATGCCACATTCTTTGCATTATGTGAGCAGAAAAATATATTTTATCTCCATATTTTTATATCAATATAGTTATGTACCTTAGTCTCAGAGTATTGGGATGATCAATACCATAAATTTTCAAATATTATGAGTACTAGACAAAAATTGCTGTTTTGTCAAAATTGAGTTTTTTCACGTTTTTGTAACTTCAAAATGTTCCAGGCGCATATGTTTTTTAGGTAGAGTGCTAATACTTCACCAAACTTTTAATAATAGCATATTTAATAAGTGTAAACCTCCCAGCTGATAAATGTCTAAATGGTGGGACGACTCCAATGCCATTTGTTTTTGTGGATGATGAGACTTTTCCCTTGAAGAAACACATTATCCGGGAAAAGGTCTTACTCCATCAAGGGCAGCATTTAACTATAGATTGAGCAGGGGCCGCCGAATGATAGAAAATACATTTGGAATCACCAGCAGTCGCTGGAGAATATTACGACAACCGATTCTTGCTGGGACTAAAACAGTGGAAAATATCGTCAAAGCCATTGTGTGTCTGCACAATTTTGTAAGCAGGAATGAAAGGAACTCCACTGCTTTTCAAAAATATTATGTGCCAGCTAACTTTGCCGACACTGAAGAGGACGGTAATGTAATACCAGAAAAGTGGAGGAAAGAGTGTGTTACTGGCGCTTGGGATGCTGTTGGTGGTATATCTACCAACAGCTATGCAAATAAAGTCCGTGATATCCGCGAGGGATTTGAAGACTTTTTCACGAAAAATAAGTTGTCTTGGCAAGACAGTGTCATATCTAGGGGGCAATTTAATGAATGCCTGATAACCTGATTATTTAAATGTATTTTATCCGATTTTAATAATTTTTTATATGTGTGTATGTATATAATCCTCATTGCTTCCTTTAAATATGTTATGTTTTAATATTAATAACTCTATATGTATATATTTTTTCATTATATTATCTGCATTTTATGTTAATATTATTTTGCAAGATGTATATATAAACTTAGTATGTGAATATTATAATCTCTATTGCATTATTAAACTGGTATTTTTTAATATGCATTGTATATATATTTTTACATCTTATCTTGATTTTTTGTTTATTTTGTCAATTATATTATATATTTTAAACAGATTTTTTTATTATTCAACTTAACATTTACTTGAATGAAAGACTGTGTTTTACTATATTATTAAAGATTTCAGATAATACGAACTTTCTATTTTTTATAGGGTAATGAATTTTTTATAAATCAGTTAGGATATATGAACCTTTTTAATATTTCCATAATGGTTACAAGTCATTACATAATTTAATATCATTTCTAAATATGATTCCATAAAGATAAATGCAATAATTATTATTTTGGAGAATTTACTTTATCTTTGATTTTAATTTAAATTCGAAATTTAGCTTTTTGTCTTTCACAATAGTTTTACAGATGAAATTATGTCTTATCATATACCGTTTAATTTTTGTTAGTACAGTGTTCGAACAATGCCTGCAAGACAGTTCTTTCCACGTTTTCTGCAGTGATCAGTTTTTCTTTCTTTTAACATAATAGAATGAGATGCAGATTACATTTTCCAACCATTTTTTGGATTATCTACAGCAAACCATTGATAATATAACCAAATACTTGCTTAATCAATACGATTTCACATAATCAAATATTTTGCAGACAACAAAAAAAAATTTACTTTCTGGGTGAATCGCTCAATTTTTTTTTTTTTTTTAGTTTTAAAGCTGCAATTTCAATTTTAACTTAAAAATACAAATATTTTAGTAAATAAATAAAATTAGCCAAATAATTTTATGATTTTTTTTTCTTATGTTAAAATAAAAAGAAAACACTGTTTGCTACAGTAAGTAACAATTTGAATATTTGATTGCTAGAGAACCCATTCTACAGCAAAATAATCGTAATTGCTTACATCAAAAAAATAGACGAGGTTATGCTTTGAAAGCCTAAGAACTTGAATTCCAATTGCTTATAACACAAGTTTTAGAATACTGACATATTCCTTAAAAAAATGTAGATGAAAAATATGTCGTTCTTAAAGAGTATTGTGAACAAATATAGATAATTTTCATAATGGCTATTTCATTCAAGTTATTTAAAGGATTAAGAAGTTTACATCACGTGTAGCAACAAAACTCTCCATATTTTTTTCATATTGACACTCAAACCTGTCGATAGCAAACATATACTGAATCTAATGAAATCAACTATACAATTCTAAATAGCAATTTATTCTTTTTTTAATTCATCTTTTACAAGATTTAATATTTTAATAAGTAGATCAAGTTTTTTTTCTATTTTAATGTCTCTCATATAAAACTGAAGCATGTCGGAAAAGCTGTCATCTTCATTCTGCTCTAAGCAGGATTTTTTTAAAAGTTGATCTGTGGTATCAATCCCATTCAGAATGATATCATTCCTCCTTTTCCTTGAAGTGAGGAAGCTCTCATCACGATTCTTAGATGTACCTGTAATAAAAATTGTTATTAAAAATTAATGCCATTAACTTTGTTTTTCAAAAATATGCATTAACTCACCTTTGTTAGATTGATTATGATCAGTGCCAGATTAAGCGTACTCGGGGGGCCCTAGGCCATTCAAATTTTTGGGACCTTTAGATTAAATTTTTTGCTATCGTATATTTTTTATTTACTCAAATATAAAAGTATTTATACATCTTTTCATGTAAGAAAGCATATTTAAAATTAAAATAAATAATAATAAATTAAATTTTACTTTATTTTGTTAAATTAGAACTAAAAAATAATCATAACATTTTGGAAAAAATTTAATTACATTTTGAAACTCTTTGCTTTTTGTTTAAACAAATCTCAGCTCGCTATAGTACTGCCTTCAATTTTTTCGAGCGCAAATCAAAATGACAAATTTGAACTTAAAAAACATTGATAAATTTTATAATACATAGACCATAATAATACTTATAAATAACTAAAATAAGTAATAAATAAATATGATTAACATTATGTAAAAAAATTATTGTAGTCTATTAATATATATTTAAAATTGATTTTTTTTTAAAAAAAAAAATCGTTTTTCTTAATGTTTTTAAACTTATTTTCAAAAAATCCATTTTAAGGGGGGCCCAGGCCATAACCTAACGGGTAATCCGGCACTGATTATGATTATATAGAAACTGCTATCTGACTTATATAACTGTAGCTTTAAAATATCTTACATTAAAGAGCCCTTCTAAAAAACGTTTTTAGCAGCTATTTGGAATTTTATTGTTATCTATGTTATAAACACTAAATATTCTCCGATTATGCAATATACTTACAAGTTGAAAATAATTTATAACATACACAGTTTGATTATCTTTGAATTAGTGTGTAATATTTTAAGATGTACTTGTTTTCTCCAAAATTAGTTTGTTTATTTGTTCAGTAATAGTTACATTTATTTTTATTGGCTAATTAGCCAAGCGATTAAATAAAATAGTGGCTAGAAATGATATAAAATAGTTGACGATTCAATCGTGTAAATTGATTACAACTCTAAATCCTACTTTCTATTTGATTGGCAATGTCCTCAGTAATCTCATCGTCTCCCATTTCTTCTTCTGCCAATTGGTGAAAACTTCTCGATAATTCAAATTCCTCTTGAGGAATATTAAAAATTTCGTTTACCGACAAAACATCGGGAAGCTTTGATGCTTCCTCCACCAATAAAGTTTTTGCTGAAAATAGAAAACGTTCTATTATCTACACTTATATTAACATAATTCAAAAATTGTGTTCCCTTTTCGAATACAAGAAAAACAGCATTTTTGCAACAGCTAATTGAATTATTTTTTACAGCTTTACTTATATTCAAGCTACTAGTTTTTCTTGTTTTGAAATATTTATTTATCTATCAAGCCTGTAGGTAGCGTTATTCAATAGTGATAGCCTGTCCGTTGAAATTGTAATAATTTTCCAAATTTCTCCTTTTTATACATTTATTAAACAGAACAATAGGAACACTAAACATAAACACAAAATTTTTCTGATTGTGCATTATACATTCAAATCGGATTTTTCCGATCCCACGAGATGTTTATCCCGCCAGTTCAAGATTCATTCTGATTGAATTCTCCCTCGGTTAGGGAAGACGCCTAGTAGAAATCCCTTTTGTGGGGATTTAACCTTATTCGTGGCTTGAGTTGCCACATCCTCCCGCCCCGAAAGAGAGTTCAAAAACAATTTACAAATAGAATTTAAAATTATACTAATACTAATTCTACATTAAACTACCAAATTAACAATTCACGACATAAATAATGAATCATACAAAAATTTATGAAAACAATATCAGCAAAAAAAAACATAAATTCGAATTAGAATAAAAACAGTCACTTATTCATAATCAACTTGTAATTTGTTACTCACTCATTTGATGCAATTTCTAAATTATACAATAACTGTACTGGGCGTCTTATGACCCCTGAAGACGTTTTCACAGAGACTGATCTTACCTTGTCATCTCGACCCTTGTGGCATTCAAGAATTCTTCCTATCTTCCAAAGTTGTCTTTGTATTTTCTCGTCAGCTATAAAACTATATCATTTACATTAAATTCAATGTTTACATGTTTGTTAAAATTTGCACCTTTTAACAGAAGAAGATATTCCTTTTTCCATCTTTTCCAAAAATTATTTAGAATCTTTTCCCTATACAAAAATCTTTTTATCAAATCCCTTTTACCTTTAAATAATTCAAAATTTGCAGTACCTGACCAATTAGGTAAAGCTGTCAATCTTCTTCCAGTTAAAAAGTTAGCAGGAGTGAAAGGGAATGGTTCATTAGATTCATTATAAACATACGTTAATGGACGCGAATTAATTATAGCTTCAATTTCTGCCAAAATAGTTTGCAATTCTTCAAATGATTTCCCTAAAGTTTTCTTTAATGCGATTTTTATTATTCGAACCATTCTCTCCCAGTATCCCCCCCCCCCCTTGAGTTCAATGTCAGCACTTTTAAAAGTTAAAGCATTATCAGAATTTACAATCCGGCAAATGCCTCTTCTGGAGATAAATCGTCTGAATGACAAAAGAAAATGTTCTGTACTTAAATTCGACACAACTTCTAGGTGTACTGCTCGCGTTACAGCACATGTAAATAATGCGATGTAATTTTTATCATGGTCCTTTGAGTACACAGGACCAGCAAAGCCGATGCCTACAACTTCAAATGGGTTGGCTTCACAAGTTCTATTTGCAGGTAATGGAGCAACTACCTGAATTCCATGTTTAACTTTAAATCGTCTACACTTAAAGCACTTATTCAAATAAGTTTTTACAGCTTGCCTGCCTCGGATTATCCAAAATCATTCTCTCAATTGTGTAAGTGTATCCGAAACACCAGAGTGACACAAGTTTTTATGTTCTTTAAATATTAAGAGTTCTGTAAATTTTGTCTTATTTGGGATGATAATTGGGTGCTTTGATAGAACATCGAAATCTGAATTTTGTAACCTTCCTTTTAAGGCTATTAAATCATCAGCTGACAAAATTGGATTTAAATCGTATAATTTCGAATTTGGATGTATGGGACTATCGTTTTTTTTATCCAGGTATTTCTTTTCAAATTCAATTCATTGCACAACTTTAATCCAGTAAATTTCCGCGTTGGTTAGTTCAATCGCTGTGATTGCTCCTATTCTCTTTTCGTGAGCTGCCTTACAGTTATGAATGAAACGAAATATGTATCCTGTAATTCTGAAAACTTTGTTTAGGTCACTATAATTATCAAGATTCAGTAACGGCTGAATAGATACAGTTTTTAAATGTAAAGTTACAACTTTTCGTCTCTCTCCTACAACGTTATGCAAGTCAGGACAAGAGGCGCTTTCATCGTATGGGATATTCCTTTCTTTTAGCCATGGAGGTCCCGATAACCAAACAGTATCGTTTAAAAGAGCTTGTGCATTCATTCCTCGTGTAAGTTTATCTGCAGGGTTATCTTTTCCGCTACAATGATGCCAATGATCCGGATTGGTTTTTTCCTTTATTTCTATCACCCTGTTCCTAACAAACTGCTTCCAATCATCGGATTGTCCCTTGATCCAGTATAGGCAAATTGTAGAATCTGTCTAGTAAAATATTCTTTTCTCATTTAACTTGGAGAAAGTATCTTTAAGAT